GCAGGGCCACGGATGGCCAATGGTATCGGAAGGGGGGGGGGGGGGGGGGGTCGTACTCATTTGTTGCTTGCCGTAGTCATTTGACCATTGACCACGCGTCCCTTTCGAGACGGAGCACCGTTCCTACACCTACTAGAGACACCACCAACATTTGGGAGCTCTTTACGTTTCTGCCACAAACTCCATAAAAATTTCTTGCACATCTTATCCCCGTCCTCTAGGGCCTCTTGTGCCCACCATCTATCCCCAATTATCGCGATCGTTTTTTCGCTGTTGTCTAATTTACCAACCTTGTCCATGTCACACCCTCTCTGTCTCATTTCCTCCTCGAGATCCTCTCTTTCCTTCCTATACAACTCACACTCCCCAACTATGTGGGGTCTACTCTCCTCCGATTTGCCACATGGACATGTGTGTCTATCCTCCTCTTCCTCTCTCCTACGGCTGGTATACCTCTTCCTCCGTTCTGGCAAGTCCAGATCGCCTACTCGAAATTGCAATTTCAGCTTTTTCGCATAGTCCATGGGGCCGTCCAAGTACTTCTTCATCCCTATCCCTTCTTTCAACTTCCCGTATATCTCCAAGTGGTCTTCGCTTCGTACCTTCTTCCGAAGGGTTGTCTCCTCCCTACTCTCTAGCATCTCCTTGACTTTCGTCTTGAACCCCCCGAACCCTTCCGTGTCCAACGTCCCCTCCTCGTCTCCTATCTCCTTCCAAACCTTCTCTACCACCTTGTCCCATCTGATTCCCTTCTTCCCTGGAGTCGCTTTTCCCCAAGCTGCCTCGTCAACCATGGCTGGTAGTCTATCGTCCGACATTCTACTTACCTTGTACTGCCACTTCAACTTCTGCATGTCTCTCTTTGTTTTAAGAGAGTACATTCCCAATTCTGCTCTCAATACAGTGTTGCTCGTTGTACTTGAACATCCTGGTATTTTCTTGGCCGCTGCCATCTGCACCGTTTCCAGCTGCTTGACGGCCTTTTCGTTACCTTCCCATATCTCTCCTGCATACTCTAGCTTAGGTACAATCACCTTCAAGAGAATACACCTCTTAATCCTAGTGTCTAGGTGTGGGTCCGTAAGGATCTCGTCCATCTTGCCTATCTGAGCTTTACCCTTCCCAATCAACTTCGCTATGTGTGCGTCCCATGAGCACTCCTTCGAAATCTCTACTCCCAGGTACGTATACTTGTCTACTACCGGTAGTTCTTCCCCCCCCCATTTCCATTTGAATTCTACGGGATTTTTCTTATCTTCGTTACAGACCACTACTGCGCATTTTCCTACGTTCGCCGACAGTCTCCATTTTCGGGTGTATCCTACCGCCGCATCTATTTGTTCTTGCAACCCTTCTGGTGTTTCGGATACCCCCACGAAATCATCTGCAAACATCAGTCCGGACACACTCTTTCCCTCTACTTGGACTCCCTGTCTTACTGCTTCAACCGCCCTTATCAAATCGTTGATGTAAATCTTAAAAAGAGTGGGTGACATCGTACAGCCCTGTGCGACTCCTTGGAGTATATCCACGTACTTCGAAATTTCCCCATCCAACATCACCGCACTTCTTGTGCATTCTGTCATCTTTTTCAACATCCTCCACATTTTCCCCCGGATGCCGATGTCCCACATCTTTTTCCACAATCCATTGCGCCATACGGTGTCGTAGGCTTTTTGTATATCGAGGAAGAAACAGTATGTCGTACGCCCGGCGTCTTTCCTACCTTGGATGATTTTACTCAACGTATATACATGGTCTACACAACTACGATCTGGTCTAAATCCAGCTTGTCCTTCGCTGATCTTTTGTTTCCCCTCCAACATGTCTCCCATTCTATTGTCTATCATCTTGCCAAACAGTTTCCCCACTGTGCTCAACAGGGTTATCCCTCTATAATTCCCCGGGTCAGCTTTATCCCCCTTTTTGAACAGGTTCACGACTACTCCTTCTCTCCATCTCTTCGGCGCGTACTCGTGTTTCCATATCCAGTTGATTATCCGGACCAACATGTTAATCATCCCCTCCCCCCCCTGTTTCAAAAGCTCGTTCACAATTCCATCAGCCCCTGCCGCTTTTCTATTCTTGAGTTTCGCTACGCAGTCCTCTACCTCTTCTCGTGTGAACTCTCCCTGCAACCCGTCTACATCACTACGTTCCCTCTGAGATCTTTCAACGTTTTCCTCTGCCCACGAGTTGATTTCCTTCTCAAACTCCGAGTCGAAGTTGTCGTTGGTGGTGGGTGTCCCAAGTTTGCGGTAGTGCTCTACTAGTACTTCCCTCTTTCCTTTAGAACTGCTTACCATCTTACCCTCGGCAGATCTTAGTGTCGTTATTTCCGTGTCTCCCCCTCTTTTGTTGCCCACTATCCCTTGAATTCCTACCCACATTTGCTTCATCCCCCCCTCAAAATCTTCGTTAGTCTTTTGGACTACTTCCTCCCACAACCCTTTCTTCTTCTTCACGACCAACTCCTTCACCCTCTTTCTACTTTCAACATATTCCTTCCATCCTGCATTTGTTTTCCCTGCCGCATATTTTGCGTGTGACTCTCTACGTACTCGAATTGCTTGCTTGATTTCTTCGTCCCACCACTTCACTGCTCTCTTACAAACTATCAACTTTCTACCTAGAACTCTGCTTGCTGTTGTGTTTACCAGCTCTTCCCACCCTTCTATGATTCTAGACCCGGCCTGGTCCCGGCCTTCGGCATCCTTCGGTGTACCCATTGCCTCCATCAACTCCGAGAGTTTCTTGTCGTTTATAGCCATCTCTTCTTGGAACTCTACCCTCGTTTCTTCTACTTCTAGCTTATCTATTCTCCATCTGTACATTTTCCTGCGTCGCCTACTCTGTATGACTCTCTTCTGTTGTAGGGCTGTCCACACCAACGCGTGGTCTGTAGTGCCTACATCCGTTGTGCATACTCGTACTTCCGTCTCTTTCCCCCCATTCTCTACGACTATATAGTCAAGGATGGAGCGTTCTCCTTTTTTGAAACATTGCCTAGTCCATTCCGGTTCTGTCTTTCGTACTCTACCGTTCAACACCTTCATCTCGCTACTGTCAAGGAACCTCAGCATTTCTTCCCCGTTTTTGTTCGTGGCT